TGGCATAAACAAGGGTGTTTGCGAGAACCAACCACACACACCAGACAAATACATTCTCCATGTCGTAATATTTGAGATGGCAGCAGCACTGTTGCGTCTTGTGTTTAACGGAAGGCAACACTCTCCTTTTGTAGATGACAATGTTCTTAACTGCTGGATTGTCTGGCCAGGAATTATGCTAATAGTGAGTTGTAATATACACGCGAATTAAGCGTAATTATAATAATAAATATAAAATTAAGTAAAAATTCTGATAATGAGAAATAATTATTATCCGTATCACTGTTTTTTGTCGTTATATAATTATTGTTACTTTTTATTTACTAATTGCATATAATCAGTGTTTTGATCATTATTAATGCTGATGTATGACGTACTGTTAATTACATCATAATTATCTGTTATTTTATTTTTTTGCATGGATATTCCTAAGCCTGTGGCTGGCTCACTAAGTGTTGCTTGTTTCTATTTCACTTATACGAGTCATAAATACTCATACTCCGCCTGGTTGCTTCAGTAAGATTTTGACCCATGTGTTTAACAATAACTTCTGCTCTGTTTAATCTAAGTTGAAATTTTATTGGTTTTGTAAATGTGCACTGTGTTAGATAATGTTCCAGTGGTCTGTTGTGGTTGTAACTGAGCACTGTGTTAGATAATGTTCCAGTGGTCTGTTGTGGTTGTAACTGAGCACTGTGTTAGATAATGTTCCAGTGGTCTGTTGTGGTTGTAACTGAGCACTGTGTTAGATAATGTTCCAGTGGTCTGTTGTGGTTGTAACTGTGCACTGTGTTAGATAATATTCCGTGGTCTGTCGGGCATTTCTCCACAGTGATGACATTTCCTCTCATCTTCCGGAACCTGTAAGCCTATTTCCCATGCACATGGGTATCCAAGCCTGATGCGATGTAAGTGTACTTCTGTTGCTCTACTGCTCCCTTTCATCAAACTAAGTGGTTCGTAGTTGGTTGAATTCTTGTACCAACCTGCAGATCCTGATGTTGCAACTGATGTGTTGTGGTCACTGTACATCTTCTGCATTGCTCTGTTTCTAATTACTTTCTTAATCTGTGATAAACTTTATAGTATGTAAATGTCTACATTTCTTCTCTTAGTTGCAAGTTTTGCAGCTTCGTCTGCAATGTCATTTCCTATTATTCCCACATGACTTGGCACCCAGTTGATAATTACCCGTCGGCCTTGTCGTTTGAGTGTTTGCATTAATGATATGAGATTTGTGATCAGATGGATGTTGTCACGTATGTGTTCTTGTTGCAAGGTTTCAATAGCAGTTCTCGAATCTGTATGTATGATAACATGTTTTCTGTGTTCAGCAATAGCATGTTCCAAAGCCTTTTGAATGGCTAGCATCTCTGTTTGTAAAGTCGAACACCCATTTGAGAGCGTCCAACTATTTACAGAGGTTCCTGCTTTAACTGCAGCTCCGGTTTCTTGTCCCTGCTGGTCTACCGATTCATCTGTGAAGTATGTGAAGCTGTTAATGATGTCTTGGAATCTACTGATGACTCTTCATATCCGTCTGGGATCCTGGGATCTGTTGATGACCTCCATACCTGTTTGATGTACCTAGAGTCAGTTGATGACTCATCATACCAGACTGTTTGACGTTCTGAGGCAGGTTGATGACCCACCATTGCTGACAGTCTGGGGTCGTGGGTTGTGTTGACACTCCATACCTGACTGGTGTACTGTGGTGAGTTGATGACCATACCTGACTATCAGACGTCCTGAGATCTGTTGATAGCGTTCCATACCTGACTGCTGTACTGGGGTCTGTTGATGACCTTCCATGTACCTGACTGGGGTCGTGGGTTCTATTGATGACCCTCTCACCTAGTTGTGCTTGCGGGGGTTGAGCTCTGGCTCTTTGGTTCCACCTTTCAACTGTCAATCAACTGGTGTACAGATTCCTGAGTCTACTGGGCTCTATCATATCAACATTTTATATTATGTATGGAGTCAGCCTACACCACATCACTGCCTAGTGCATTCCATCTGTTAACTACTCTGACACTGAAAAAGTTCTTTCTGTGGCTCTGTGGGTACTCTGTTTCCACCTGCGTCCCCTTGTTCGCGTACCACCCGTGCTAAACAGTTTATCATTATCTGCCATGTCAATTCCTTTGAGAAGATTGTAGGTGGTGATCATGTCTCCCTCTAACTCTTCTGTCTTCCAGTGTCGTAAATAATTGACTGGGTACTGGGATCTGCTGAGGAGCAACTTGATGGTTATCTTGAGGTTATCTTGAAATGATTTCGGGGCTCAGCGTCCCCGCGGCCCGGTCCTCGACCTGGCCTCTTTTTTTATTACACAACCCCAGGAAGCAGCCCATAGGAGCTGTCTAAGTCCCAGGTACCTATTTCCTGCTCGATGAACAGGGGCATCAGGGTGAAAGATTGCCCATTTGTTTCCGCCTCAACCGGGGATCGAACCCGGAACCTTAGGACTACAAATCCCGAGCGCTGTCCACTCAGCTGTCAGGCCCTATTTGGTATAGACAAATCTCACCAAACTTTCCTCTGAAGGCATATAGAAACGGAATTAAATCAGAACATAATAGAAACATTCCGTGCCTGGCACTGCCGGCTAGCAAGAGTGTTTATTATTATTATTATTACTTTCTACCACACACGTGGCCACACATTTACAATGCTAACCACCATATATACATTTTCTTCTGTCCTCCATGGACAGGGTTAGAGATGTGTTAAACATATAGTTCAGGGATTTATTGAACAATCAACCACAGAAGGTGATTGTAGTGCTTTTAAAATGCTAAGCTAAGCTACATACGTAAATACATAAAATACACAGATTTACGTATGCCCTACATAAAGCGAGAGTGGTGGAAGGGTAGGACGGAGCGGCTCACGGCAGGTCTAGGAGGGAGCCCGTGTCGCCACCCCACCCCCCCACAGTCACGGCCGAGGTCACGGCTTGACAAGAAACAGGTGGCACGCACATTCCAGCCACCAGATCAGGTGGCCGCCCGCGACATTTAACCCACTCGTAAATAACCCACTCGATGTGTTGAGCGGCGGGAGTACACTCACTCTTACGGCTGCCCCTCTTGCCTAACTCATCATGATGACAACACTACGGATTAGTTGGATTAGTTGCTTTTATATAATATACATAAACATTAATTACTTGCAAGTTCCAAAAGCCCTTTTTTGGGAGTAGAACCTCCGCCCGCGTGAGGCAAAGCCGAGTGCTGTACCACTGTACCACCACCACCCTACAAAAGCACTGGAGAGTCTTTATGAACTCTTTCAACTCCATGCCCGAGTGCATTCAAGTTCTGGGGGGGGGGGGTTGAAACCGTCCATCAAACAGTGGAACACAATGGGTTATCAGTGCCAGGCTGAGTCACCCGTGGCAGGTGGCTACAGGTGACGAATCTCCCAATCCTGAGCACTCGACGCGGTGTACATTCTCTGAGCAGGAACTGAGTCATGACCACCCAGCAGCCTACAGTACTGAAGGTCCAGTCATTATATAGACCCTTCAGCCCTACTGGTGTGGGGGACCTGCAGCTACTGACAATTACTATATCCGCTCCACCCGTGTTCTTGAGCACATCATATAAGGCTGCCCAAGTATACCAGTGATCTGGTATACTTGGGCAGTATAGTAGTATATACATATTATTTAGTAACAGTATAGTAGCAGTATAGTAGTAGTTTACAAAGTATACTAGTATACAAAGTATACTTGTATACAAAGTATACTAGTATACAAAGTATACTAGTATACAAAGTATACTAGTATACAAAGTATACTAGTGATCACGTGCCTCTGTATGACTGACCATCCTGGGTAATGAGTAATTTTTTGGTCTGGGATAGTTGTATACAGATCCATGTAGTTAAGTATGTTAATTATTAAATAAACACTGCTCAGTCCTAGCAACAATTGTTCGGTCGCAGCACCCACTGTTGAGCTTTATAAAATACCGTTCAGCCTTATCCATTAATTTGCATTAATATTTTATACGTCATTATCATGTCTCCGCTGATTTGTCTTTCCTCCAGCGTGGTAGCAGAGTCCCACCAGCTCTGGTACGAGCCTTGTGACATGTCTATGGATTCGTTCGTGTTCATTCTGTGAGTTATAAATATGGATTCCATGCCGGCGCTGAAACTCAAGGGTTGGTCTTATGTAGGTTGAATTCCGTGCTATGAATTCCTCCTTGTGAAGGAAAATGAAGAAATTCTGAAGAACTCCAGAACAGTTTGCAAGTTTACACACAGAAATCATAATAGCGTGATGCACCAAATGAACAAATCCACAAGGGCCGTGACTAGGGTTCGAAGCCTCGTCACGGCTCTTGTGGATTTGTTCATTTTGCACATTGTTCACATGCTATGGACGTTATCCTATTGCTAGGCTCTCATTGTCAGGGACAGAAAACTTGTTATGCTTATGGAAGCCACCATTGTCAGCGACTGACTTTTCATACCCTGACACCCACAACAAGGGACACGATTCCAAGAACCTGTTTAGTTTAATACACGATACATATGAGGATTAAAAGTCTAAAAAGTCACCATTAAGACCATATTAGAAGGACACTGAGGTCTCCTTGCAAGATCCCAGTGCTTTTAGTCTTCTCATTAGCTAAGCATCAGCTGCAAATAAGGATATAAACGATCATATTTCCTCTCATTAGTTATTGTTATATATTAGGAACAGAATGTATAACTAGTAGTGACCCTTGAGCCACCCTTGAGCGCGTTACAGCCCGTTACAACGTCTCTCTCTCTCGCCGTAACCCTCTGTTTCCTGCCCGGGAGATAGTCCCTTCACCCGTTCATACATTCCTGGATCCATCAGCTTCGTTCTCAGGTTTGAATGTGTCTCTTGTGTGGCGGGATTCTTCCTTGCCAGTCAAGACACAACCCTCCGTCTCCTGTGGTGTATTGTCATACCGGCATACAACTCTTTATTTAAATTGTTTAGGCATGACCTTCGCCCCCTACCTCAACCCCTGATGGTGACCATGGGCAGGAAGGTGGATGGGCGGGCGGCTGGAGAGGCTTGTGGGCAGATGTGGGTGCAGGTGGATGGTTTCTGGGTGCGTGTGGATGGCTTCTGGGTGCGTGTGGATGGTTTCTGGGTGCGTGTGGATGGCTTCTGGGTGCGTGTGGATGGCTTCTGGGTGCGTGTGGATGGCTTCTGGGCGGATGTGGGTGCGTGTAGATAGCTTCTGGGTGCGTGTGGATGGCTTCTGGGTGCGTGTGGATGGCTTCTGGACGGATGTGGGTGCCTGTAGATAGTTTCTGGGTGCGTGTGGATGGCTTCTGGACGGATGTGGGTGCGTGTAGATAGTTTCTGGGTGCGTGTGGATGGCTTCTGGACGGATGTGGGTGCGTGTGGATAGCTTCTGGGTGCGTGTGGATGGCTTCTGGGTGCGTGTGGATGGCTTCTGGGCGGATGTGGGTGCGTGTGGATGGCTTCTGGGTGCGTGTGGATGGCTTCTGGGCGGATGTGGGTGCGTGTGGATGGCTTCTGGGTGCGTGTGGATGGCTTCTGGGCGGATGTGGGTACATGTAGATAGCTTCTGGGTGCGTGTGGATAGCTTCTGGGTGCGTGTGGATGGCTTCTGGGCGGATGTGGGTGGGTTTGCCCCGCGGCCGACGGGTACTGGACAAGCTGCCGCCGCTACTGCCGCGCTGGTGGGTCGGGGCCGCCTGATGCAACCAGGAAATTGTCGCCGGTTGCGTTTCATAGTTTCCTTTCCACCTTTCGGGGATGATTTCTGGGAAGGTTGAGACGGTAATTGTGTGACGGGAGGAGGTGACGGAACACAGTCATCGAGGAGGAGCGGCCGTGGGTTAGGGTGACGGGGAGCGTCACCCTCCAGGTCCAGGAGGGTGACGTAGAGTGACAGACATCACCCTCGCACTCTCTCACTTCGCACCTCCTCGGCCTTGTCTCACGCTGGTATCTTAAGGTGTTTTAACTACTGTAACCGGTTCTGAGAGTACTTTATTATTATTAACATCTTTATTGACAAAATTAATTACAATTTTGCCTAATCTGAGGATTTTGATAGTCTTATTAAATTGAGGTTAATGCTAGTATTCACTGTCACGCAGGACAGAGGGTCATACACAAGACAATAGGTCTAAACTGTAGGCTGAAGCACATATATATCACGGTTACAATCAATGTTTTAATGTGTGAATATGTGACAACAACTTTCTATTGTGCACTGCCACACAAGGGCAGGGATGGGTTCATAAGTGATACAGCTTAGAATATAAATAGAAATTGTTCTTCATTCTTTAAAATGGACAAGCAAATTTTGGGTAAATTGTTAGGATGTCGTCCAGAACACCTGAGTCAATAAAATAGTTACACAGTTGGTGGTACAAGAGGCCAGGAGGTCTAAAGTCCTTTACGGTTTCACATTCATCAATATAGTGTTCTAGTGAATGCATTAAAGGTTTATCACAGAGTTTACAATCTGAATATTCTGGTAGTGGCTCAGCCTCACTAACCTGCCAGATGTGTCTATAGCCAAGGCGAATTCGCGCAATGACTACATCACATTGCCTGGTCCGGTTACTGTGCTGACCATACAAATACCTATTATTACAAAACTTGTCATAACTTTTAATACTGCAGCTTTCAGGTCTCTGTGCATTTCTTAGTTCTTCTAAATCTGAATTAATTTCTTTAATTTGTATGTTTCTAATAACTGCATTAGATAGTCCAAAGTCATAATCAATGTTTTCTTTCCTGCAAGCCTCATTGGCCAATTGATCTACAAAGTCATGTTTTTCAACTCCAACATGGGATGGGATCCACACAAATTTTATACAAGAATTATTAGTACGCGTGCTTGCACGTATATACGCACGCGCGCGCGCCCCACACACACACACACACACACACAGACACACACACACACACACACACACACACACACACACACACACACACACACACACACACACACACACACACACACACACACACACAAATTCACCAGGGTCTTTGCTTATGAGTTGATTATAGGGGGATTAGGGGGAGTGTGGCCAGAGTCCCTCCACCGGCCTAGAGAGGCCTATATCTGATCCGGGTCTTCAATATCTGACACTCTCTGAATCTTGAATGCTCAATACTCAACTTGCGAGCCTATTTATGTGGGTTATATGAACCAGTGGGTGACATACTTACCATTGCTAAACCAGTGGACGTAAATGATCAACTTGAAAACCCCGTCCATTATTGATCCAACAACTAACCCCACAGTCTCTGTCCTGGAGCCCACGGGACAAATTATTGGAGAAAATTATACACAACAGAATCAGCCTCTCCCGTGGAAGTTAGTACCCTCATCACTGAAAAGTAATTTCGGTTTAGAAGTCATATCTTGAGGTTATCTTGAGATGATTTCGGGGTTTTTAGTGTCCCCGCAGCCCGGTCCTCGACCAGGCTTCCACCCCCAGGAAGCAGCCCGTGACAGCTGACTAACACTCAGGTACCTATTTTACTGCGAGGTAACAGGGGCATAGGGTGAAAGAAACTCTGCCCATTATTGCTCGCCGGCGCCCGGGATCGAACCCGGGACCACAGGATCACAAATCCAGTCCGCTTGGCCGACCGGCCATAGAGCTGTCTACTCAACACGTAGTCAAAATCATGACTAAGGCAAACTTGTAGTCACCAGAAGAAAGGAAGTCGAACTCTGACAGCCTCTTGAATCAAAGGAATGAGATCCACATCATCGAACATATCCGGACACAACTTTCATCTGGTGAGACCGATCAGGAACTTCCGGAGAAACCAAGCTGCCACCGTCATACTTCCTGAGACGCTTACAAGAAATCCGAGAGGTAGTGACTCTTAAGTGGAGTACGTCAAGAGGTGGACACGTCAAGAGGTGGGCACGCGCACACGCGCGCGCACGCACACACGCAAGCACGCACGCGCACACACACACAGACTGAGTGAATGACCCAACAAATGGCTGTTGAAGTTCAAGTAAAGTTCCGAGTAAATGCAAAGTAATGAAACTAGGCAGAGGAAACAGGAGGCCAGACACAGGATACAGAATCGGAGATGAAGTACTTCATGCAACGGACAGAGAGAAAGATCTAGGAGTTGATATCACACCAAACCTGTCTCCTGAAGCCCACATAAAAAGAATAACATCTGCGGCATATGCGAGGCTGGCTAACATCAGAACAGCGTTCAGGAACCTGTGTAAGGAATCATTCAGAATCTTGTACACCACATATGTAAGACCAATCTTGGAGTATGCGGCCCCAGCATGGAGCCCGTACCTTGTCAAGCACAAGACGAAACTGGAAAAAGTCCAAAGGTATGCCACTAGACTAGTCCCAGAACTAAGAGGCATGAGTTACGAGGAAAGGCTGCGGGAAATGCACCTTACGACACTGGAAGACAGAAGAGTAAGGGGAGACATGATCACAACCTACAAAATCCTCAGAGGAATCGACCGGGTAAACAAGGATGAACTATTCAACACTGGCGGGACGCGAACAAGGGGACACAGGTGGAAACTGAGTACCCACATGAGCCACAGAGACGTTAGAAGGAACTTTTTCAGTGTCAGAGTAGTTAACGGATGGAATACATTAGGCAGTGATGTGGTGGAGGCTGACTCCATACACAGTTTTAAATGTAGATATGATAGAGCCCAGTAGGCTCAGGAATTTGTACACCAGTTGATTGACAGTTGAGAGGCGGGACAAAAGAGCCAAAGCTCAACCCCCGCAAGCACAAATAGGTGAGTACACACACATATGGGGGCCGACCGGCCGAGCTGACAGCACGGTGGACATGTGATCCTGTAGTCCCGGGTTCGATCCCGGGCGCCGGCGAGAAATATTGGGCAGAGTTTCTTTCACCCTATGCCCGTGTTACCTAGCAGTAAATAGGTACCTGGGAGTTAGTCAGCTGTCACGGGCTGCTTCCTGGTGTGTGTGTGTGTGTGTGTGTGTGTGTGTGTGTGTGTGTGTGTGTGTGTGTGTGTGTGTGTGTGTGTGTGTGATGTGAAAAAAAATAGTAGTAGTAGTTAGAAACAGTTGATTAACAGTTGGGAGGCGGGCCGAAAGAGCAGAGCTCAACCCCGTCAAGCACAACTAGGTGAATACACGCGCAACAGACGTGATGAACTGCATTTCTCATCACGGAAAAAAAATAAAAATAATTCACAACTCCCTACAACACGACCATAAAAATGTACCATTGACATGTGTCATCTCTAGTGAGAGGAAACCGCTTCCCCTCCCTTCCCCTCCCCCCCCCCCCCCCCCCGTCCCTCTGTGTATCCTATTTCCCCCCGTCCATGGGGCCCACCCCACCCCCACCCCGTCCCTTTTTTTTTTTTTTTTTTTTTTTTTTTGGGGGAGTAAAGAGGAAGGAGAGGCATAGGTGAAGGGAAGTATAGAAGTGGGAAATACAGTGAGAGGTATGAAAGCAGGCGGGCTGTCCGCCTTGCTGACACGATGTGTGGGTGTTGGCAGCTAAGCTAAGCTGGCTCCCTCTTGTCAGGGAGCTGTGAGTGTGTGAGAGGTTCTTCACATGTGTTTCACCATATATGGATGTCCATAGATGAATACTGTGTAGCATTCATATATACACACTCCGATGCTTCCATACACGTTATTCTGTTTAATGCTCTTTATTTTATTATTGTTATTTATCGAGTTGTCATACATATTATATATCGAGTTGTTCATACATACACATATATGAACTGTTCATATATATACATATATAACTCATCTTGGGATTATATACTGTGGGGCGGGGTTTTCGTCCAGAGAATCGAGGCTCTTGGGCCACCAGCTGTGGGAGCGGGGCGTCTCATCTTGGAGTAATCTTTTAAACATTTGGTCCTCTAACATTTCGATGGTGTTCCACACCCTGATGGCTTGGTGCTGCAGTCTGATGTTTAGTGGCTGTATGTTCAGGAGTTCGTGGAGCTCCTGGATTGTCTGATCATATGGTGGACGGTGTTTTGCTGCTCTCCTTAGCGCCTTATTTTGTACTGCTTGCAGTTTCTGCATGTTAGTTTTCTTTATGGTGTAGTGGTACTGGGGGATATTCTAGATGCGGCCGAACTAGAGCCTTATATAGGTGGATCTGAATGTTAGTACCGAGGCTTCGGAATCTTCTCAGTTTTCCTAATGCTGCTTTGGCTTTGTTTAGTCGGTCCCTTACATGAATTTGTATCCCTGTTCTATTTATCATAAGTCCCAGTATTCTGCCTACCTCCGCATATTGGATGGGCTGGTTATCAAGGATGATGGGGTCCGGGTTTCTTTTCGCAATGTGTATTATTTGGAACTTTTGTTTGTTGGTGCTAATTTTCCATTGCTTCTCAAAGTTGTTTATGAGTTCAATTGCTGCCTTGGTCTTGTCGGCTAGTAGCGGCTTTGATGGGCCCGGTTGGCATATTATTTGGGTAACATCATCAGCGTATGTGATGTATTCTCCATGTTGGGGTTGGGGTAGGTCAGCTGTATATATGTTGAATAGAGTGGGGGAGAGGCAGCTTCCTTGTGGTACTCCACTTTTCAGTTCTATTACGTCACCCAAGTAGCTGCCGATATTAAGCCTAGCAGTTCTATCGTCTATAAAGCTGCAGAGAGTAGCAGTAAATCTCTCAGGAAGCCCTAGTTCAGATATCTTATATTTTAGGCCTGTGTGCCACACTTTATCGAAGGCTTTCGAGACGTCCCTAAGCAC